GAAGGGGTGCCCTTTCGATTCGATGTCTTTCTGCGCGCGCTTCCCTTTGACCGCGCCAGCGGCTGCGTTTCCCAGGATTGAAGCCTTCGTCTCGTAAGTCATGCGCGGAAGCTCGCAGTATTGCCGCATAGGCACGCCCGTGTACGTCGCTGCCGCACTCGAAGACTCGCCGCACGAGTTGAACTCCGCGCGGTCCACTACCTTCATGGCGCCTCTCTTCGGGATCGAGCAAATGGCCACTTCCTTGTTGTTGCACGCGAAAGAAGTCACTCGTCCCGGAACTCTGGGATCCTCTTGCTTGGTCGGCTGCACGTACACGCACCAGCACTCCGTCAGGGCGCGCGCGCCAGAGGCTGCGAGACTGTCCTCTTTCTCCTCGATCAGCTTGCGGCGCGAGCGGCTCCGCCCATCGAGGCAGATCACGATATCGTGAACCGAGCGCTTCTGGCAGACGAAATCCAGCACGCGCCCGAAGCGGTCCGCATCGCAACCGACGGATTCGCCCAAGTTCGCCGCCACCCCGCTCTTGCTCACGTTTGGGGGGAACAGGTCGGCCGCCAGAACGAATGCTCGGACGTCAGTTTTTGTCCTGCCGTACCTGTGTCCGAGACGCATCTCTTCCCAAACCTTCTGCAACTGGGCAGCGCTGTATTCCGCGCCAGACACCCCGCCGACCGACGGCAGCGCAACGAACGAAACGGTCTTCCTGCGCAGAGAGATCAGCAACTCCTGGGTTTTGCGGAGCTCCTCCTGGTCACCATCCTCGAGCTCCGACGCCCCCAAGACCACGCCGGAGGCCGACTTCGCGGCAGGGTCCGCCGGAATGGGGCCTGCCGAGCAAGCTGCGACGAGCGCACGGTACTTGACGCCCATCTCCTTGGTGCTCTCGTTGAAGTACCGGTGCCACAAGAATCCGGGCGCACCTCCCTGCAGGTCCTGGGCGCAAAGCTCCTCGAGCTCCGCGTCGAAATGGCCAGCCCAGACGCCCCACGCGAAGTCGATGACCGCCTGCGTCTTCCCGCCCTGGCCCTGCTGGTCGCGGTAGTTGGCCACTGGGACAGCGAATGCGTTTTCGAACCCCCCTCCGGAGTCACGCGTCGAGTTCTCGTCTCGACGAAACTGAGCAGCTAAGCCATCTTCCTCGCCAGTGGCTGAGAAGTGCTTCAAGACGGCAAGCGGCGAGCGAAACATGGAGACTGAAACCGCAATTGCCTTGTCGATCATCGCCGCCTCGTGAAGAATGTACGCCATGAGATCTTGTTTCTTGAAGAGCACGTGCGCCATCGCTGGGGACTTTTTCTCCTGTCCCGTGACCTTGCTCAAGGTCAGGCCCTCCCCCCTAGGGGCGTCGCCGGTCAGCCGGGCCACGCGCAGGCAGTCCATGATGAACACCATCGACTCGCGGGAGGTCGCGTCCTTGTCTGCCTTGGAAGACGCCGCCCTTCCATTGCATAACTGAGCCAACCGCAGCAACAACGTGGGTTCGCGGAGCTCAGGGCAGAAAGCCTCCGACAAAGAGTATGCCACGACGCACGCCTCATCCCCGACGAAAGGCGTCAAGTTTTTCAAGCACTTCGCGTGTGACTCGGCGAGCGGCTTGCCCTTGAACGCGAGCCCGTAGCTCTTGAGGGCCGCGAACAATTTCGGCAGGGACAGGTTGTCGGCCATAGCCTTCTGGCACCTTGTAAGTCGAGCCACTTTCTCCGCCAGCTTCCAAAAGGAATCCGCGCCAGAGGCTGCGGACGCGGTGAACATGGTCTCAGAGAACATCAGCGCGGCCAGCTGGCAAGCGTCCGAATCGGGGCTGAGACGCAGCCTGATTGGCACACTCAGAGCTGCCTCAAACAACTTGAATGCACGCTCAGTGTTGTCGGTGGACAACGCCTCTGCCATGGCGCCATGCCAAGCCATCACAAGCGCGTGCCCCGCCAGCATGGGCACGCCCGTTGCCATGAGTACAGAAGATTCGCCTGCGTCCATGCGCTGCGCCACCTTGGTGTTGACCACTCGCGCGGGGAGCGGCACGTCGAACGAGTAGCGCCGCGACGGCGGGTGGTCGGATGACAGCAAGAGCTTCTCCTCAGACCACATCCCCATGGCGGCATCGAGCTGGCTAATGCTGACGGAGTCGGTCGTGTCGCCGGCGAACGGGTCGAGCATCCAGACTGTCCCCGCAGCCTCGTATTGCCCCGTCTTAGAGAAACTCATCTGCAAGTTGTCGTAGTTCATGACCTCCCGGAACGCCGACAAGTTCGCGCCAGAGGCTGCAGCAGAAATTTGCAGGGGAGGGATGAGCATGACGGAGCCCGGAATTTTGAAGGAAACTTGCGTGTGTCGATCTGTCAGGAACTTCAGGAGAGCCTTGTCGACGTAATCCTTCGCCCCCTTGGCCCAACTACGAAGATGGTCCGTCTGGGCCTTCAGCGACTCCATCTCCAGCAGCCCCGTGACGGCCAGTGGCCCTGGCGGTGAAGGCAACGGCGCAGGCGGCGCATCGGTCGGCTGCTGCGCAGGAGGCTCCTGCGCCGTGCGCGGCTTCTTCGCCGCGGGCCCCCCTCCATCTTTGGGCGCCATGCGCGCGAATGAACGAGGTGGCGCAAGCAGAGGCGCGCGGGCCACGTTGCCAGCGCTGGGCACTTGAACCGATCAGCTGCGATGCGTGGTCTTCTCAAACACACTTTTGGATGCCCAGCCATGCTTGGAAAGGTGGTCTGGTATACTTGTGGTCGGGGTCTGGTTTACTGCTGGGCGGCCTGGTGTACTCGTGGGCGGGGTATCGTCGACTGGCGAACGGGTGGTGTACGTTTGGGCAGAGTCTGGTCCACTTTTTGGCGGGTTCTATGTATTTTGGGGAATATCATTTCTGGGTGGTCTGGTCAATTTGTAGGTGGTCTGGTCTACTTTTTGGCAGGGTCTGGTCTACTTTTTGGCAGGGTCTGGTTTACCTATGAGTGGTCTGGTCTACTTTTTGGCAGGGTCTGGTCTACTTTTTGGCAGGGTCTGGTTTACTTTCGGGTGGTCTGGTCTACTTTTTGGCAGGGTCTGGTCCACTTTTTGGCAGGGTCTGGTTTACTTACGGGTGGTCTGGTCTACTTTTGTGCGGGGTCTGGTCTACGTTTTGGCAGGGTCTGGTTTACCTACGAGTGGTCTGGTCTACTTTTTGGCAAGGTCTGGTCTACTTTTTGGCAGGGTCTTGTTCACTTATGGGTGGTCTGGTCTACTTTTTGGCAGGGTCTGGTTTACTTTTCGGCAGGGACTGGTTTACTTACGGGTGGTCTGGTCTACTTTTTGGCAGAGTCTGGTCTGATTTTGGCGGGGCTTTGTTTACTTATGGGTGGTCTGGTCTACTTTCTGGCAGGGTCTGGTTTACTTTTTGGCAGGGTCTGGTTTACCAATGGGTGGTCTGGTCTGCTTCTTGACAAGGTCTGTTGTACTTTTTCGCAGGGTCTGGTTTACTCATGGGTGGTCTGGTCTACTTTTGGGTTGGGTCTGGTCTGGTTTTTGGCAGGTCTGGTTTACTTATGAGTGGTCTGGTCTACTTTTTGGCAGGGCCTGGTCTACTTTTTGGCCGGGTCTGGTTTACTTATGGGTGGTATGGTCTACTTTTTGGCATGGTCGGGTCTACTTTTTGGCAGGGTCTGGTCTACTTTTTGGCAGGGTCTGGTTTACTTTTTGGCAGGGTCTGCTCTACTTGTTGGCCGGGTCTGGTTTACCTATGGGTGGTCTGGTCTACTTTCTGGCAGGGTCTGGTCTACTTGTTGGCCGGGTCTGGTTTACATATGGGTGGTCTGGTCTATTTTTTCGGCAGGGTCTGGTCTACTTTTTGGGAGGGTCTGGTTTACTTATGGGTGGTCTGGTCTACTTTTTGGCAGGGTCTGGTCTACTTTTTGGCAGGGTCCGGTTCGCCATCGGGTGGTCTGGTTTAATGTTTGGCATGGTCTGGTTTACTTTTTGGCGGGGTCTGGTTTACCTATGGGTCGTCTGGTCTACTTTTTGGCAGGGTCTGGTTTACTTTTGGGCAGGGTCTGGTTTACTTATGAGTGGTCTGGTCTACTTTTTGGCGGGGTCTCGTCTACTTTTTGGCAGGGTCTGGCGTGCTTATGGGTGGTCTGGTATACTTTTTGGCAGGGTCGGGTCTACTTTTTGGCAGGGTCTGGTCCACTTTTTGGCAGGGTCTGGTTTACTTATGCGTGGTCTGGTCTAATTGTTGGCAGGCTCTGGTCTGCTTTTTTGGCGGGGTATGGTTGACGTTGTCTGCTGGTCTGCTTTTTTGGCAGGGCCTGGTCTACTTTTTGGCAGGGTCTGGTTTACTTTTGGGTGGTCTGGTCTACTTTTTGGCAGGGTCTGGTCTGGTTTTTGGCGGGGTCTGCTTTACTTTTGGGTGGTCGGGTCTGCTCTCTGGCAGGGCCTGGTCTACTTTTCGGCATGGTCTGGTTTACTTATACGTGGTCTGGTCTGCTTTTCGGCAGGTTCTCGTTTACTTGTTTGTAGGGTCTGGTCTGCTTATGGGTGGTCTGGTGTACTTTTTGGCAGGGTCTGGTCTTCTCTTTGGCAGGGTCTGGTTTACTTATGGGTGGTCTGGTGTACTTTTTGGCAGGGTCTGGTCTACTTTTTGGAAGGGTCTGGTCTACTTGCGGGTGGTCTGGTCTACTTTTTGGCAGTGTCTGGTTTACTTTAATGGCCTGCCCCCCACTCCCCCCTCCCGCCCCATCTTTCGACAAGAACCGCGAAACCGTGCGCGGTTCTCCCCTGTGTCTGATTAGGCTGGTCCAAAGCTTCGGTATCATGGCTTGCGCAACCTCCCACCCCTGTTGGCACTGCGCGATGCTACAGATCCCTGACCAGAACAACTCGCCTGGACGTGCTTCCAGGGACACGCGAAACGTTTTTTTTTTTTTGTTTGTTTCTTTCTCTCTCTCTCTCTCTCTCTCTCTCTCTCTCTCTCTCTCTCTCTCTCTCTCTCTCTCTCTCTCTCTCTCTCTCTCGTCCCGGGGGGCTCCTCAGGCGCGCATTGGCATTCCGTCCACGGTCACTGCCTTGGGCCCACCTTCATTCCTCACTTTCCTCGCCGCAGACGCCCATGCGACGACGTCGCGCAGACTCGAGAAACACGTCCCGCCAGCGGCTGGGGGGGGCGCTTCCGACACTGCGAGTTTCGACCCCGCTCTGCGGGCCACGCGCCGTGCCGCCGCCCTCACGTCTGGATGCCCCGCGACGAGGCCTGGCGCGAGATGGATCACCTCCCCGCGCTGGTTTGCTGGAACGTGGCGCATGCGGTGGCCGAGTGGAATTCCATCTGGGTGGCACTGGGCAGAGACAAGGTGTGTCTTCGTAACGACGTCGAGGCCCAGCGACGCGATGTAAAAGTAAGAGACGGTCAGGTCCGCGCTGGCTGCTATCGCATCCAAGTCGTGGAGGAACGAAAAGTCTGGAACGACGACGAGGTCTGCTTCTGCACAACGGTGTCTGCCAGTGACAGTAGCGCAACCTCTCGCAGGGCACGTGTCGGTCGCGCCGCCGAGGCTTGCTACCTTGCTGCACGGCGAGGGCCGCGCCAGAGGCTGCGTCGTCGCACCTCGTCTTGGAGCCAGGTGGACGCCGGGCGGACTCGCGAAGGGCGCCCCTGGACACGCCCGCGCCTGCGTGACGCCTGGTATATTCTTGCGGCTGCGCGCCTGGAACTTACCCATGCCATCGTTCCACAAGGCGCTCGCCTCGGTGCCGGCGCCAGAATGCACCGCGGTCGAAGACTGGCCCCGCGCCCGTCGAAGACGCGCGGCAGCCACGGCCAGGCGGGCGGCCCCAAGAACGGCCCGAACACGTCCTCGAACAAGCCCGGGCGCACCGCGCCTCTTTAACTTGGCCGCCGCAGTAGCGTGAGGATTGTAATGCCCATGCCGATGGCCGAACAGTTCCAGCCAGAGGCTGGCGCATTCCCTGGAGAAGGACGTCAGGCCCAGTCCAGAGCGAGCTGCGCCTTCGTCGAAATCAGCCGCCGTCTTCGGCCCGTTCAACTTCACGATTAAGCCGTCGTCGTGGAAGGCGATATCATCGGTGCGGTGCTCTACCCGTTGGTCCCGAAATCTGGCCAAGTCGCGTTCGACGGTGCACTCCCCGTCTTCAATCGAGATGTAGAAACGCACCAGGCGGCAGAGCACGCGAGAAGACCCGCGGAGACGCCTCGGGCAAGCCGCCTCCCAAAAGTCATCGTCGAGCACGCGTGCCCACGCCTGCTGGTTAGTTGCCCCCGCCAGTGGCTGGGATGGCTCCATCTGTTCCATCATGTAGGGAAGCACGCCGTCGTACTGTCGCATCGCCGCCTGCTCGTCGCAACCGAGCAGGGCCGCCAGCTGGCGCGCGCCCCGCAACAGGAACCGCCGCACTTCAACATCAGGCACTGGGCCGAAACCTTTCTGCACGAGACGCCGGTCAAACATCGCCAGCGCCGAGCGGACGTCAGTCCGCGGGAAGTCCTGGAGCAAGCGCTCTTTTGTCAATCCCGCCACGTTCTGCATTCGGTGGAGGAGCTCCTCCTTGTGCGCCGCTGCTGGTTCCCCCCATGGCATCACGGGGTCGCCGTCTGCGTAGAACACATACTTGGTGCGGAGATTGCGCATTGCCGTCTCTGTGATAAAGCCCGCCTCATGCCCTACCGCGCGGAGCCGCGGCGGCAGCGGCTCCTCGGCAGCTGGGGCGGTCACGCCAGAGGCTGCGGCTGCCGCGGGGGGGCGGGCGGCCTGGAGAACCGTCTGGAAGACACGCCCTTGCACGAAGACCGCGTCAAACGTCTCGACCATGCAGTCGATCTCAGAACGCGACTTCGCAATGTCGTGGCTGGCGACGTCGAAGAGCCGCAAGAACCAGTTGCATATGATCCCCCAATCCGCCGACACACCAACGGCCATACAAAACTCAGTATCGAATTTCCGCAACAGGGCGCCTGCCCGCTCGCGCTGCTCCCGATCGCGGCGACGGTCGGACGCGATGTACGCCAGCAAGGTTGCCACCGGCAGAAGCATGAGAGCAATTTTCAACACGGGGCCCGCCGTCGAGTCGAAGCGTTGCTTGGCGAACGCCAAGTTCCGCACGATTCCCGCCAGGGGCTGGGGCCCTCCAGGGAGTCCAGGCACCGCCACTGCATGCACGTTGTCCTCCTGGATGGCCACCAGAAGGTTGTGCCACTTGGTAGAATTCATCAGGTCAGGAACCAGCGCATGCCGATCATCGAACAGCTCCTTCCATACCTGCCCAAACACGTCGTCGCAGTGCATCGACTTGCAGGCAATGCGAATGGCGTGAGCTGGGTCGCGAATCACGATTAACAAGTTAGGGAACAGATCGCGAGCAGCGAGAAAGACTGAACGCCGCTCCTTGGACGCGCCATCGGCAGCGAAACTGGTGACTGTTCCCAGCACGTGCGCTTTCAGTTTCTGGTCGCACGCCAGCGGCTGCGCTCCCCTGTGGCCTTTTATTTTGCCGAGCGGCGTACAGAATTTCGTAAGAAAGTCATCGAGCTGCTTAACCGCAGTGACAGCGTGGTCATCCTCGAAGTCGGACGCGCGTTTTTTCGAGCAGTCGAGGAGGCCTAACACGCCGGACGCGCAAAATCCTGAAGCGCCAACGTTCCCCACGTGGAGGCCCGCGCCGCTGTTTCGCGCAGAAGGGAGGTCGGGCGCGCCAGAGGCTGCGGTGCAGGCGGCAATCGGGAGGTCGACGCGAAACCGCACGATCTTCCGGTACTTCGACTCATCTATGGCCAAAGAGATGGAAGTCGCCTGGAGCAGCGTTTTGCGGATCCTTCTCCTCAGGACTTCCGCCATCACTTGGAGTTGTCGACGCTGGCGTTTCCGCATTCTGTTCGCCTGCGTCGCCGCCGGATCAGGCGCGCGGCTTCTCTTATCGCTGACGCGAGCGGCCTTCCGGAGAGAGACTCCTTCTGATAGCACCGCCCACGCGTCTCTCCACTCCGATGGGGTCGGTACGTTTCCCTTAATCAGCCTGGAATCAGACTCAGTCGCCAGAGACTCGCATGGCCTCTCGGTTGGCCAAACGGTCGGGCACGCCAGAGGCTGTGGTGCAATCGGCTGAGCGAACATGTCGGAACCCTTTCTCTTTGTAATCCCACAGGCCATTCTGTGCGACGTGCTGCTGGCATGTCGCTCTAACAGCATCCTGGCGTTGAAGCCCGCCTTCGGGCGAATCTGGAACTTGGCAAACTTTGAAAACCTGGCGCCGTCACACTGGTTGCCAGATGCCGCAAACTCAGAGCAGATCCTACACCCCAGGCCCCATATGCCGCGGCTAACGCCTCGTGACAACCACGACCGGCCCTCGTAGAGGGTACACGCCTCGTAGACCTTAGGTCGCTTCTGCAAATCGCACCGGATGCAGAAACCTTTGCAACCCGCATGGCTTTCCAGATGCTGCGCCTCGGAAATGGCCCCGTCAAACACCTGGAGCATGTCATCCGAGAGGGGACGCTTTCGCGACAGAGTCTGCGAAACCTTTCCACTTGTGGGAACCTTTCTTGCCAGCGGCGGGGACGTCATATTCAAAACTTGTGACCTCTTCGTCGCTTTGACCGCCGCGCATGACCGCGGCCTCCGTGGGAGAGGCCTCGACGACGCCCTCGATGGACTCAGCTTTCGCGGCGAGGAGCGCACAACATGTTGAAATGTCTTTTGTGCCTCGGCCTTCTTCTGGGTCGCCCGCATGGCCGTCGGCTTCGGCCTCCCCTCAGCGCGCCTAGGTTTCGCCTGCTTTCCCGCCAGTGGCTGGGGCCCAAAACGAAGCGGCGGCGCAACCAACACCATCCCGCGCAGTAGATCCCCCTGACACTGCTTTCCCCAGGTGCGTTGAGCCACCCCTTTGAGCCAAGCGGCTACTCGCGCGACATTCAAGCTAGAATAACATGCGCAACGAGGGGCAAGGGTGGTTCGACTTAATTTGGGAAGGGCCAACAAACACAACCACTCTTCGGGTGATAGGGAGGTTGCGGGAGGGACAAACTGGAACTATAGCGCAGCATCGCTCTGCATCGCATTGCCAAGCATCGCGTGACAGAACACGGCATAACCTAGCATGGCATTGTATTGCACAGCATGGCATACAATCAGCTGGTACCTCATATCGCAGCACATCGAATCATAGCATTGCAAATGGGATCGTGATATAGCATAGCACAGCAAATCATACCAATACATTGCATGGCACGGCGACGCATAGCATGCCATGGCATGTCAAAGCAGAGCTGGTCATAGCATGGCAGATCATTTCATAACATCGCATCGCATCGCATACCCTGGCATGGAACAGCATCGCATACAATCGCGTCGCATCGCATAGCGCAGCATGGAATAGCATGGGATATCATGACATACCAGAGCACATCGTCGCATAACACCGCATAGCATCGTCGTGTGCCATAGCACAGCATAGCAAAGCATGGCACAGCATATAATCGTAAAGCACATCACAGCGCAGCATCGCATGGCATAGCATCGCAAAGCAAAAACATCACCGCACAACTTGCCCTCGCAAATTGTGCAAACAGACCCACCACAATAAGAACCCTTAATGTAATGGGCAGCCGGTGGTGGACCAGGCAGAAGATAGCAACTTCGATGCGCAACTTCCCCCGGTGACTATCAAGTTCGGCCTCCGAGCCCCTCTCCACAATTGAATCCTATTGACACGGGATGATAAGGGTTCAGGAGGTTAAGGGGAGGGGGAATGATTTATCATCGGGGGCAGTCGGCTATCCACTGTGTGTGTTCTGGTTCAAGACTGGCCCTGGGCCGATCGAGCGCTGCGCTGCGCCGCTGTGCCCCCTGCTGGCACAATGGGAAGGGGGCGCGGCCTCCGCAGTGGGGCCGGAGAGCAGCCGAGTTCGCGGCGCATCTCGCGGCGAGTCGCCGCTGCACCGCCGCTGCGCTGGCGGCGTTGGCGAGGCGTCGGCGCCGTCGGCGCCGAAATGAAGTCAGAATCCACATCGCACCGCAGTGGCGATGCATCGCCGATGCGGCGCGATCCTCCGGCCCCAGCCACTCCGACCGCGTCTGGGAGGCCCGAGAGGCACCCCTGGCGGGCACGCAGGGGCGCGGCGGGCGCTGGGGCAGCCCAGCCCGGGACGCTGCGAGAGCAGCCCGGAACGCTCTTGAGCGATGTGTTTCCTCGTCGCCATGCGGGCCTCGAAGAATAGGATTGCACCAACACCACCTCCATTTCCCCGTCCCCCCTCCACCCTCCTGTGCCCCCCTCTTGCCTGTGAGAGAGACGGGGTGAGGGAGGCGGCGGTTGGGGAAACCAAAATGTAGTTTATACTGCTACTCCCGGGACCTCTGCCAGGAAAAGGTACCGGTACTGCTACTCCCCGGACCTCTGCCAGGCTGCGCTCCGACCAAGATCTCGAGACGAACCCAGCGGTGGCGACGACGGCCTCACACGGAGGCCCAGACAGGGGAGCACGAGGGCAGGTTGGCGGTATGGGTACCCTTTCCTCCTCTGATGTAGGAAGGCACCAACTATACACCAACACCGATCCTGGCCAGGATCACCCTGGGCCCAGGATCGGTGTATACGCCCTCCTGCCTTGCGCAAGAAGGCATATACACCGATCCTGGGCCCAGGGTGATCCTGGGCCAGGATCGGTGTTGGTGTATAGTTGGTGCCCTCCGATGATGGTGGAGTCGAGTTCTGGGGCCCGTGTGTGAACGTGTTCTCTTCGGGCCTTTCCACACTGGGCGGGAGGGGGTGGGGAGAGCGGGGGGGTCTGGAGCTCCCGACCCCTGCTTCATGCGACTGTCTGCAACAGCGCGTCCTGTGGGGGAGGCTCCACCTGCTCGAAACTGGCGCCAAAAACAGCCAAGATCTACTCCATGGGGGGAGGAGGGAAGGGCGCGAGGGCCCGCGTCGATTGGCAAAACAATGATCGGTTTCGTGGAACCTGGTTTAAACATGTGCACTCGGGGACGCCCCCACGCCCCGTTCCACTAATCGGAACTGCCGTCACCCGAAAAAACACCAGCTACGGCAGACCTGGTTTAGTGATTCTGGCCAATTTAGGGGCTCCGGGGCCCAACTACTAACCGGGTCCCCTCACATGGGGTCCTGGCTATACCCGAAATGAATAAGTGTTGGGCCTGTTTTCCACCACCACCGCCATCAGTTGGAGGGGCGAAAGAAGGAGGAGGAGGAGGAGGAGGAGGAGGAGGAGGAGGAGGGAGGAGGAGGGGGAGGAGAAAGAGGAGGAGGAACAGGAGGAGGAGGAGGCGGAGGAGGAGGAGGAGGACCCCCTCCGCTCCAACTTATGGTGGTGGAAAACAAGCCCATCGATAAGCAAACGATCGTATGCCCGCCTGGCCACTGCCCCCTGCGGCTGGCGGCCGGCGCCAGCCCACCGCAGGGACCCCCTGGCCCGGCCGTTGCCGTGGCCCGGGCTCGAGGCCGCCTGCCGATCCGCCGGGATGGGCCGATGCGGTGCGACCCCCAGTTGCGGGCAGCGTCCGGGCCTACTCGCGAGGCAAGGGTCTATCCTGACTACCTACCAGACCACCCCAACCCAACCCGAAGACCCGATTTCGGGTTGGGGGGGGTACGGGTTCCATGTGTGTTTTCTCAATGTTCCCCGACCCCCCCCCCCTGGAAATGGAGAGCAAATTGAGGCCTTCGGGTTGGGTTGGGGTGGTTTGGTGGGTGGTGATATCCAGATCCACCGCCTGGGAACCGACGTCCTGGTGCCCCAGCGGGCGGCGGGTGTGGATGTCTGTCGGCCCCCAGGGGCCCGAATCTGTTCACATATCCACCGCCTGCCGAGGCTCCGAAAACTGACCATCCTGGCGGCGGTCATGTATCGATTCCCGCCTCGGACTACTCCAGACCGGGTGGGCGAGGCCGTGGCCCCGGGAATCTGGCGCGCCTAGACAACATGCAACGCGAGACAAAGGCGCAACAAAAATGAGGAGGGACGGAGGAAGGAGGGGCCCGAGGTTCGATCGGGCCTGTCCTCCTACAGGCGGATCTGAGAGAAGTGAAAGATTCCAGAAAATCGGAGAGGAGTTTCCACAAACAACCGAAAAATCGCCCCCAGGCTATCCTTGAGCTATGTTTTGATCTTTCTCCTGTCCGGGGACGTGCCCGACTTACGCCTAGCATTATGTCGGGCGTGTCCCCCTACAGGGGGATTTTCGACGATTTTAAAGAAAGCAAAAAAAAAACTCAAAAATAGTCCCCAGACTATTTTTGGACTATTCTAAACAATTTGCGGGGTACTTCTTATTTTTCGTCGAAAATCCCTCTGTAGGGGAACACGCCCGACTTAGGCCCAGGACGGTCCTGGGCCCATCCTGGGCCCCGGAGCGGCCCGGGCAGATCCTGGGCCCAGGATGGTCCAATAGGCATCGCCTGCCCGAGGTCCGCCACGACGCCGCCGTCGTCGTCGCCGCCGCCGCCGCCGTCGTCCTCGTCGTCGTCACCGCCGCCGTCCGAAGTCGTCCGTCGTCGTCCGTCGTCGTTGTCCGTCTTGCCGCTTGCTCCGAGGGAGGGGGCCTTCGTCGGGGACTCTGGATCCCTCCACTGCTCTTTCGGGGGGGAGCGGGCGGGGTCCCAGACCCCCGACGTCATGATGTTTTCACGACGCGACCCCCCATGAGGTCCGGACCCATTCCCCGGGACCGGTTTTTCCTCCTGAGTCGTTGTTCGACGGTCCCGAGGCCCGGTGAGGGCCCCCAGAGGCCGAAACTAGCGAAAAACCTCCCGTCGCGATTTCTTCCTGACCCGAGGGGGTCTGGGGTTCTGGACCCCACCCCACTGATTTTCCGACGAGGGGGGGGGGGCCGACCCACCTGCCACAGAAGCGCCCGAAAACGCTCCTCCAGACCTCCGACGCCTCGACTTCTCCCGTGCGCGGGGCCCCACGAGCTCTGCACCGCTTCCCAAGGACCTGTGCCCAGTCCCGGGGTTCTGGACCCCACCCCACTGATTTTCCGACGAGGGGGGGTGATGGGACTGATTTCCACCACCACTACCATATGTTGGAGAAGGGGGAGGAGGAGAAAGAAGAGGAGGAGGAGGACCTCTCCCTCCAACCTATGGTAGTGGTGGTGGAAACCAAGCCCATCAGGGGGGGGCCGACCCACCTGCCACAGAAGCGTCCGAAAACGCCCTTCCAGACCTCCGACGCCTCGACTCCTCCCGCGCGGGGGGCCCCACGAGCTCTGCACCGCTTCCCGGAGACCTGTGTCCCCGTCCGCCGGACCCTTTGCCCACGGCTCCAGAAGCCCGGCGAGCGCCCCCAGACGCCCACAACCTCCGTGTGAGAAGGAGGAGGAGGAGGAGGAGGAGGAGGAGGAGGAGGAGGAGGAGGGAGGAGGAGGAGGAGGAGGAGGAGGAAGCGGCAGGAGGAGGAGGAGGAAGGAGGAGGAGGAGGAGGAGGAGGGAGGAGGGAGGAGGGGAGGAGGGAGGAGGGAGGAGGAGGAGGGAGGAGGGAGGAGGAAGAGAGGAGGGAGGAGGAACGAGGGAGGAGGGAGGAGGGAGGAGGAGGAGGAAGGGAACGAGAAGGGAGAGGAGGAGGACGAGGAGGAGGAGAACACAGGAGCCCCACAGAGTTGCAGGTCTGAACCCCTCCGAAGCCCTCTCGACCCGGTCGGGCCACCCCCCAGTTCGGAACATGCCCGCGCCTGAGCGGATGCGCGCCCTCCTGCGCTGGCTCGGCCGGGCCGCCGCCGCCGGGCGCCGGGGCGGGCTGCGGCTCCTGCGGCGGCTGCGGCTGCTTCTGCGCCGGCCGGCTCTCCTCGCGAGCGGCGGGCACGGCCAAAGGGGCCCTGGGACACACCAGCAAATCGACACACACACACACACACACACACACAGCCCAAGATTCCCCATGTGTGCTCCGATGATCTTCTCGGTGTTTTCGTCCTCCCCCCCAAGCTTCCCGCAGCTGCCCACCTCTTCCTTCGGGGTCGGGGGCGCGCAAGCATGGATTAGCCATCCATGGATCTGGCGCGCGGTCGCCAAATCCATGGATCGGGCGAGGTGTCCTCCCCACAATGCGGCCGCCGGTGCCGCCTTCCTCGGCGGCGGAGATCCGCCCCTGAATCCATGTTTGCGATCGCCTGACGCCTGGGAGTCGACGATGACTTGTCTGTAATAGACGAGCGCGCTCCACTGCTCGCAGAGTAACGACTCGCAACTGGCCTGGATCCCCCGCGGAGGGACTACGACAAATTACATCGGACGTTTGCATCGGACGTTTGCGAGTATCGGGGATGGACAGAACCTCCTTAGTAAAACGCGGTTTAGTGAAAACGACCTCGGGCCCAAACCTGGCGGGCGCAAGCCTGGAAAATGACGGCCGCGGCGCCCTCTCGAGAACCGAAGACGGAGAATTCACTAATCGACGTGTCAGGGTGGGGGTTCTGTCCACCCCCGAGAGTGGGCACTTCGCGAGTAGAGGAACGCGCTCGGTGACGTAAGGGCGAGGACAATCTTGGGGATGTGCCCTCAGAAACTGGGGGAATCCGTAAGATCGGCACCGAGGCGAGGCGATGCCAAACAAGGGGACAGGAATACGCTTCAGACTGGCAACGATCGCCGGATTCCTGGGAGTCGGCGCTGACTTGGGTGCCCGTGAGTGTTCTCCCCCCCTTCCGTCGGGAGCGGCCAAGAGGGGGGTGTCCAAGAGGGGGGGGTGCAAATCATGACCGGCGGCATGTGCGCAGCCCAGGGGCCCGAATATAGCCGCATCCACCGCCCGCCGAGGTCCCCGAAAACTGATTCTCCAGGCCGGTGGCCACGTATGAGCTCCCGCCTCGGACTCTGGGCCTGCTCCGGAGTCGCACAGGCTTCTCAGAAGGCCTACCCCCTCTCGCCTCCCCCTCGGCGCGCCGCCGAGCGGACATGCACGCGTGCTTTCCGCCCACTGGCCCCGCCTCGGCAGAGTCTTCCTCATCTTTGAGCTGCAGCTCCATCATGATCACGGCAACCGCGATGACGATGATCACCACGGCCATCAGACACCAGAAGCGTATGTCGTTCAGGAGCGCGATGTGCTGCACCATGTGCTTCTGGCCGTCCGCACCCACGGCCGCAGGCTTGGGCACTACGTTCGAAAAATGACGCCCGATGGTGGCGTTAGATCCAGTTTCGGTAGTAGTCCTTTGGCGGCGAACTAATGGGCCCTGGTGCAAGGGGGTCAGCCTTCTGATGGTGCAGAATGTTTGCTTGAGTTGAACAGTGCACTTTGAAACCACGCTCCCAACCCATGCAGAAGAAAGACTGACCCTGTTGCCCTGGACCCATT